GCCCCCCGCTGCTCGCCCCAGCCGCTCCATCCCTGGCACTCGCCAAGCGCTGGAAGGGACCGATGATATTTATTGAGTTTTATTAACTCCCAGCCCTGGGAGGTTCTCACCTCTTCCAGCTAATTCAGACGCCCAACTCCTGCCGGAGTTACAGTGATTGCCATTAAAAAGCTTGACATTTACCTTACAACAGTAATAAAATAATAATGCCTAATTTGGTTTATGAGTGGTATTTGCAGTGTTTCCTGTGCCTGGAGTGGGGGATATTGTGAAGATCGCTGCGACGCTGATCAATTACGTCTGCTTAACGGCACTGCTGTAATTCTTTCCTGTAATCATAACCGTCTTTCAGTAGAGCTGCTCCAAAGTTTTCCTTTGAAACAGTAATTTTGACAGGAAAAGAAAATGTTTTCAGATACTTCAGTTTCCAGTGAATAACAAAAGCTTCAGAGGTGAAACTTTCTGGTGAAAAGTGGAGAAAGACAAACCTGGTGTCTGCACAGATTTTGCTGTATTTAGATTTCCAGAATCTTTCAGATATTTTCAAAGGCTGCCTTGTGATTGCTTTCCATTAAACAGTGATTTTTCTTCTCCAAATAACCTTCTGCCTTTCACTCGTCAATACGATTCCCTTCTGTTATTGGCCTCTCAAAGATTAAACACCCCTGGTGTACCTTACATCCGTGAGCTATTGCTGCCGAGTTAAGGGAAGGGGAGCTGGCCCTGGAGCTGCCGCTGGGCTGTGGGGTGAGGAGCTCCTGCCGCCCGGGGCCGGGGAGCCCAAACCCCTGTGCCGGGAGCCGATACACACCAGGGCACACACACAGCCCCTGCACACACACACACACACACGTGCACAACGCTTTCTCCAAGCTATTCAGCAACTCCGCTTCCGTCCCGCTTGGATTTGCCCTCAGGATGCAGGCAGCGATGCCCCGACATGCTCACAAAGCCAGCACCAGACCCGCTAAAAGCAATTTCTTTCTCGGCTTCTCACCCTGAGCAAAACTCGACATGGATTTTCTTCTTTTCAGTGCAATTTTAATTAGTGCATGATGCACTCTGGGTTTTTATGAGCGTAAACAGCTTGGAAAAACAGTGCACGCCAGCTCCTCTACACCAGGGAGCCTCATCCTGTTCAAACTAGAAACTTCACACAGGATTTCTGAAAGCCTTTCTTAAGATAGGTTCATTTCCATGAAGAAATGGTACAATTTCAACAAATGGAAACTTTTGAACGTCAAAAAAAAAGTTAGTCAGGAAATTCCTGGCTAGGCTGACTTTGGGGCAAGGCTCTGCACAAAGCGGGTGGGGGATGCCAGAGCCCTCCACGGGGAGAGCTCGGGCTTCACTCTGCGGTGCTGAGGGCTGGCAGTGCGTGCGTGCACATGCGCGTGTGCACGCACACCCGTGCACATCCACGCACACCCGTGCACATCCACGCACACCCGTGCACACGCGTGCCCATGTATATGCACACACACGCACATAGAATCACAGAATCGTTTAGGTTGCAAAAGACCTTTGAGATCACCAAGTCCAACCATTAACCTAACACTACCAGGTCTACCACTGAACCAGTTAAGGGTAGAGTAGTAATTAATTCCACGTTTCCTGGCTTGGTGGCTGGATTATTTTTAATGGAAGTAAAACTAGGAATAATTAAGATTGGAAAGGACCTCTAAGATCATGCATACATGCATACATGATCTTAGAGGTATGCATGATACATCTTAGATCATGCATGTATAAGCATGTGTATGCACACCTATGCCCACCCATGCCCACGCACACACCTGCCCCCTGCCATGCCCATGTCCCCCTGCCACCCAGGCACGCCACAGCAGCTCCTGGGCTGTCCCCGCTGCAGAAGCCCCCCTGCACGCGTGAGCAGCCCCCCGAGAGCAGCAGTGCCCGCGTCCCCAGAGCTCCGGGGCAGCCGGGAGCCCTTGCACAGCCTGGGCACCTCCAGCCATGAGAGCAGGGGCAGAAGCGGAGGGCAGGAGCAAAGCTTCAGTGAAAAACTGGGACCCTGGACGGGGCCGATGGACACCACGCAGCAGAGCTTCGTGCGGGCTCCTCTCCAAAAGCGTGGGAATTGTTTGCACCCTGCAAAGGGCAAGCGCTGCGGGAGCGCCCGGGGCCCGGCAGGCTGTGGGGGAAAGCTGGCTGCCGCCGTCACGGGGGCGGCAGTGACCCAGCCTTCCCCGCCGCATGTGCAGCCCAGAGCCTCTCTAACTCCACCTCGGAGCGGGCTCGCGTCCTCGCACACGGAGGAGACCATGGGAGGGACGGCTCGGGAGAGCCCGGAGGACTGCCGCTTTCTGGACGTAAGTTCGTGGCTTGCTTTGCCCCCGTGCAGCTTGTCAGCGTGACAAATGTCTGATCTGCGTGTGTACGCGTCCCTCCTCGAATCATCAGCCAACCTCTGGCTATCGCTCTTTTGTCATTAATTAGGCAGAAGCATCCAAGACGCGCAAGAAGACCTGCACCAGGTACCAGACCTGCGGACTGCTCTTCAGCGTGCTGCTCATTTCGCTTATTCTGATATTTTTTGGTGTCAAATATCTCTGGAACCCAACACCCAGAAAAGTAAGTAAAATTTCTCTGACCCAGCATTTCTGAGTGCCGCTTCCCCAGACAGAGCTGTCCCCCCCCGACTCACTGAAACTTTTAACTACACCCTGAAACCCAGGCAACTTTACAAAATGCATTTTCTTAGACCACAAGTATTCACGGGACTTTTAAAAATCTTTGTATTATTCATAACTAGCTTTTACATTATACCGACTGGGTTTTTTTCCCTGTCACCA